ATAGAATAGAATAGAATAGAATAGAATAGAATAGAATAGAATAGAATTCTTTATTGGCCAAGTATGATTGGATGCACAAGGAATTTGTTTTTGGTGCAAATGCTCTCAGTGTCCATAAAAGAAAAGAGACATTCATCAAGAGTTGAGAATCATCAGGTACAACACTTAATGATAGTCATAGGGTACAACCAGCAATCAAATCATACTAGGAAACAGTCAATATAAAACATGAGGATACAAGCAAAAAAGTTACAGTCCTACAGTCACAAGTGGGAGGGGATGGGTGATAAGGAGTGATGAGAAGATTAACACTAATAGTGGTGCAGACTTTGTAATAGTTGAACAGTGTTGAGGGAATTATTTGTTTAGCAGAGTGACGCTTGTGCAGAAGACTGACATTAAAGTTAAAAGAAAAAGAAGATAAAAAAGTATTTTCAAATATGTTTTATATATGGTTTAAATTTGTTAATAAACAGTTAGATAATAGTAGCAGAAATTAGGAGCTGGGAAAACATTATTCTGTAAGCATTTGACCCTGACAATACACTGTTCACAAAGCAGAATAGAATGAATGAGCTGGAAGGGACCTTGGAGGTCTTCTAGTCCAGCCATCTGTTCAAGAACCACTTATGTATGTTAAATGAAAATGCACAAATAAACTATTAAGTCTAAAAAAAAAAAAGATTTCTAGCTGCACTGCCTCTTCATCTGAAGGTCTAGAGAGAAGACCAAATATGTTCTAAGAATTAAAGAGAGGAGTAGAGATCAGAATGAACCAAGAAAGATTACAGTAAAAAGGAAGTTTGGAAGAAAATTGTATTGGGTGACATCCTGATTTCTTTTGGCCATACAGTACTGTGTACCCTCTCCTATACCCACATTCTTTTTTTAAAAAATATATGTTTTATTATTACATCTTTATATAAATTAAAAAATTCCATATCTATCTGCACAGCGTGTTGTCTGGACACAATTAGTCTTAAGCAGAAATGCAAAATTAATCAATATTAATAATCATAATAAGCACAATAAACATATCAGTAATAATCGCAAAATAGTTAATACAATTAGTTTATCCATCTTACAAAATTTTCAGTGCAAAAGTGTTTATTATCTTTTGGATTTTGTTAGATTCTAATCTCTGATTCTAATAGTTAACCATTGGTAAAACAAGTCCTATGTCAGGAAGGATCCTGTTTCATCCTTTTCTTTTAAGTGTTAATTAAATATACCATATTTTTCAGAGTATAAGATGCTCCGAAGTATAAGATGCACCTAACTTTTGGGGAGCAAAACATGAAAAAAAAATCTGCCTGTTTCAGTTTCAGTTTCAGTTTCAGCACAGCCTGATTAGCACAAACAGCTGATTGTCAGTTGGATGGCTCTGCGCGTCCGATTTTCGGCCTCTGCATCCCATTTTCAGCCTCCGTGTGCCCCGTTTTCGGCCCATTCTGGATGGCGGGGATCAGAAGGGGCGGAAAATGGGGTGTGCGGAGACCGAAAATGGGGTGCGCAGAGGCGACAATAGGTGATTGGAATCTCTGCAGCCTGAAACAGCTGATCGTCGGAAGGTCGATCCGACTGACGATCAGCTGTTTGTGCCCATCAGGCTGTGCTGAAGCTGAAACAGGCTGTTTGCTGTTTGCTGCAAGGAGGCAAATGGGTGGGAGGCAGAGGCTGGTGGGTGGGGGCCAGCAGATGGGCGGGGCTTCAGCAACATTCGCTGTACAAGACGCACAGACATTTCCACCCACTTTTGGGGGTGGAAAAAGTGTGTTTATACTCTGAAAAATATGGTGTTTTCCCTTTGTCACCCACCTTCTTGAAGGTTCCTTCTTCACCCACCTTCCTTTTGACCTCCATCCTTGGAGGCCGCCTAAAATAATCCAGGCCTTTCTTCTGCCATCAGGTTCCTCCAAGTGCCAGCATGGCCATGGTTCTTCTTCTGGGTGTCCTGGTCACCTGTGTCTCCTATTATGGGATGGGTATCCTGTAAAACGAGGCCGTGCGTCCTTGATGTGAGTATGTGGCAAGGAGTAAAGGAGGACAAAGGGCAGGAGGCCTTGAGACCTGATTTTATTTATTTATTTAAAAAAAAAACAAATTTTATTAATTTTACAATTAAAAACAAATCAAAAACACATACACAAATAGAAGAGCAAAAAAGAAAGGAAAAAGAAAAAGAAAAAGAAAAAAGAAAGGAGAAAGAAGAAAAAAACAGGAAAAAAAAACACTTAAAAACATTCTCATTTTCGACAGTTTGCAAGATCTTTTCTCTTCTTGATTTATGCCATATACGCACACCTCATCCATGTATATGTTTATATATCACTCATATAAATTTGTCCTATTCTTTTTTTTACCTTATGATATAAGATCTGTCTTTGGTCTAACCATTTATACCAGCAATTCCAATTGTTATAATATATTGAAGAATCTTTATTTTTTAAGGCTAGAGTTAGTTTGTCCATTTCTGCACAATCTGAGATTTTTTGGATGATCATCTGTTCTGTAGGTAAAATCAGAGACCTGATTTTAAATGACACTAAAAACCTGTTCCACCCTCCCTAGAGCCGGGATGGCAAACCTATGGCACGTGGAAGTAGCATGCAGAGCCATCTCTCCGGCACACCAGCCGTTGCCTGTTGCTCTTCTGGGTTACAGCACGTGCATTGCACACCAGCCAGCTGGTGTTTGCATGCGCAGGAGTGCCAGAAACCGGGAAGAGCAGCTCTCTGGTGCTCATATGCGAGTCGGGAAGCTGAGCTTCTGCTTTCTGGTACATGCATGCACGCCAGCCAGCTAGTCTCCATGTGCGCATGTGCGCCAGAAACTGAAAGAAACCAGGTTTCTGGTGCACATGCGCCGGGAAGCTGCCCTTCTGGTTTCCAGTGCTCCCCTGTGTGCATGCATGCTCCTGTTTCGGGACTCGGTGCTGAAGAGGTTGGCCAACACTGCCCAGAGAATCAAAGCTATCGGTTCAGCTGAGATTCTGTGGAGATTCTCCATCCTCCAGGCCATGGTTGTCCCAAAGGTGCTTTTTTCCAGAGGCAACTGGACTTTCTTGTTTCTTCTTTTGAAGACGTTTCGCTTCTAATTCAAGAAACTTCTTCAGTTCTTCCTGGATGGTGGGGAAGGAAAGGATTTATATTCCTTGCAGACAGCTGGTCATTTGCATCCTTTTAGAGGGTCGTTGAGGCTGCTTGGAGGATTATCCATGTCCTCAACGTCACCTGACTGGTGCAAACGGTTCTCTTCTAGTTGCCATTTTTCCTCTGGAACTCCATTCCTACTCCCACACTATTCCAAGGGTGTCCATCCCAAATTTTTACAAAGCTAAAAGTCTGCAGAGATTCTCAGCCCTCCAGGTCATGGTTATCCCAAAAGGTGCTTTTTCAGGAGGCAACTGGACTTTTCTGGGTTTTTTTTTCTTTGATGATGTTTGGACGATTGAGAACCTTGATTTTGGTTAAGAGCCCATTTAGTGTAGCGATTAAGGTGCTGGCTTAGAAACAGGAGATTAACAGAGAGAATCGAGATCATGTGAAGTGTTAATGCTTGTTTTATAATGCCTTGGTTAGAGCACCCTTGGAATAATGCATCCAGTTTTTGGTGTCCTTAGGGTTTTCAGAAGCCCGTTGCTTTAAATATAAGAATTTAAAGGTTTTATGGGTTCTCTAGTTGTCATTAAGACTCTAGAAAGAGTGCAGAGAAGAGCAACCGAGATGATGAGGGGACTGGAGGCTAAAATATATAAAGAACGGTTGCAGGGATTGGGTATGTCTTGTTTTGTGAAAAGAAGGACTAGAGGTGACATGATAGCAGCCTTCCAATATTTGAGGGGCTGTCCCAAAGAAACTTCAGTCACCTAGTTACTATCTTTGAAAACATTTATGGAATGCAAGCAGGTTTTGCAAGCTGCTGCACTGCTTCCCGCTCCCTCCCTTTCTGTTGGCAACTCTACAAAGACCACAGAAATATTTTAATGAGTGGACAGATGTTTCATGACCCAACTAGGGAACATCAACAGTTCTAGAAGGAAGAGGGATTTGCAGAGGCGAGGAAGAAATGGAGAGGAGGAGGAGAAAGGAGGAGAGGAGGAGGAGGAGAACTGTAGGGTCTTTGGTCCT